AGTTAAGCTCCAGCTGTCAATTACACGTCAAATGTGTCATTTGAGCGTCATCTGACATTTCGCTCTTGAGGGAGAAGAGAAAGATGGCGAACTCTGATTGTGAAGTTATCAGTTTCGATTCCGCTCTCGAGGAAGCACTTAATTGTCTTTCGGAATTTAATATGCCTCGCGCTTGAATGTCCCCATGTGAAGTTTATTTCAGTATCCGGAATTCAGTTAAATATATTTAAAATTTTCTTCGTGGCAGGTTCCTTTCAAATTATGACTATGCTGAGGGGAACCTTACCTTTGCTAAGGACGTGCAAAGCCACAGTGTGGCTGATAAAAGAGAGTAGCGAATCGTTAACTTCGTTTTCGAAAATTACCTCAGGCGCAATTATAACAGATTTCTTGGATGAAAGAGTGAAGCATGTGAAACGTGGACCGAGAAACGATCGTAAGGTATGGCTGAGAAAAATGCCGATCGGTAGGATTTTCGGGGCGCAAACCACCTGCACCTCCGCACGGACAACGGTTGAAACCGGAGTGTGCAGCCTTGACTTCGTCTTTTGCAGGAATGACAGTGAAGGTAAAGCAAGCTTAAAACGGCAGAAATCGCCAGAAACTACAACGGACACACAGGATGTGAGTAAGTTTTATTGATTTTACGTGTAACATGTTCATATTTCAAAATATTTATCGTTGTAAATCGACCATATATCTTCCCTATACTATTCCTTATAACGTGTTCAAATGTTAAACGGTTCCTCTCTTAACTTAAAGTGCCTGTGGCACGAATTTTTTTTTTGCGTAAACATTTAGCTGATCATCTGTACAAACCAATTCCGACAGAAGAAAAAAATTTTAAAAACTTAAAATTTAGTTTTTTCGGGCGCTAAAGTGCTCTTATTTTGTCTTAAAAGTGTCCCGTGGACTGGTAACGAATTAGCGGGTAATGACGTAGAAATCTGTGAAAACTCTCAATTGACACTTACAAATCTCTCAAATCTCTTGTAATTTTGTATCAGTCAGAGTTGAAATACTCTTAAAATAATATGCGATAGCTATGTATACCTACCTTCAGCAAGCTCTACCGCGAGTTGTGATACTCAAGTATATATCTCAAGTGATTCTCACTGATCACCGGTTTATACCAGCGTTTTTTATGATGAATTCCCTGATTAGTTTTTTTTCAGTTAAAGCATTTTTTAAGTAGTAAAGAAGAAATGGAAGTTGCGAGTACGGTTCAGCCCTACGAAGGAGAACCGCGTGGATCAAACGATTTCGACGAAGACTGATAAAAACGGTTTCTCGCCTGCAGTGTTCAGGTCAGATTAGAGCAAAAAATACCCGTTACTGAATATTTAGTTTGTTGCGTTTGTGTTTTGTCTTCTATGGCGAAATCTATGTTAAGAATGGGAAGCTGTGTTCGTTTCTGTTACCATAACATTATATTCCTTCGCACTATGTGAGGCGAAGGTTCCCCTCGATCAGCGCTGTAGAGTTTCGTTGCTGTGAAATTTCCTTGGTAAACCAAAAGCTAACTTTTAAGGAAATAATCAGCTGTATCATGAGGCAAGATGATTTTTAAACGAGAAGTCATCGGGCAGTTTCACTGCAAGTTGTTCTTTTTCTCAGTGATGGCAAAGGCAGAAGCTATCTTCGCGGTCGTCGAGCCGGCCAAACCGAACGGAAAACGAGTGAGTTTACGGTCATCTGATTCAAGTTCATCTCAAATAGATATTTTAATAAAGAAATATATTCTTCAGTTTAAGTGCAGCAATGCCATGAGACCCATTCCGCTCAAAGATGATAACTGATAACGCTATTGTGAATGATTACTTCGTATCCATCGACTTTCACACGGCACTTGGATTCACTGTCACATTAATTTTGTGTTTCTTTATTTATCTCGTCGCAGTGCAGTTACCACAATTACATTGCTACTTTTAGTTTCATGAGGGCAGGGAGTTGATGGCTCGTGGGATGGATTTTCGGAATCCTAGGTTAGAAGAATACACAGCCCCTTCGAGCCTGTGTTTATGCCGGTATCCGCCAAAGTTGTCGCACTTTTCACGCAACGGGATATTGGTCAGGAAAGCTCAGGAAAGGGCTCGAACTTCATTACAAATGATGCATTTCTGTTATTAAAATACGATAGAAACTACAATAAGATTTTCTTACGATGAGAAAAGCGCAAATTTAGTCATGTTGAAAAACAAGGAGTATGAGTACATCTCAAGCGCGTGAAATAAACAACAATAAGAAGCTCACCATTCTTCACCCGGGAAATGTTAGCCGAAAAAAGTTTTGAACAATTGGGTACGGTGCGAGAACAGGCCCTAATCAGCATTCTTTTTAGCTGAATTCTTTGGTTATCTTCCCCTTAATTGACTAGTGGTATATGTTCGTAGCAGGCGTCTTCGAAGCCGGTAGGGAGCGTAAGGCCGGCGACATTGAAGAGTAAAATCTCCTCGATGTCCAAAACGCGTCTATTTTGGCCATACAGCTACATCCTTTGGAATTTAGTGTATAGAAATACCCTGTATATGTGTATTATTTTTGTAGATAACATAATTTGACACTCTGGCTACGCAATACGCCCGTCCTTTCTTCTAGTTTTCTATTTAACAGCTATGTGACATGATCGTTTTGGTCGCGCGCTAATGGAGACACTTTTTGGCCGCTAAATCTCACTCAGTTTCAATGCACAAAAATGTGGTCAAGGAGAACTTACTAGGTGATAAGGTCGATTATTTCTAATTTTAAATACAGCTATCAGCCAGAAAATGCAAAACCAAATTTAGTGTCATGGCACTTTAAGGATATAGGGAAAGGTTATTGGCGATTTTTGGTAAAGTGTAACAAGACGACGATATTCGATTAGCGTCGCGCTCACGAAACTAGAGTTCAAAGTCCACGTGGTTTCTGCTTTCATTTGTAAACAGTGCTACGGTCGTTGACAGAAGTTGGACCATTTGCTGCAGAATCTCAAGGTTTTTACAGATTTCTTTAAAAGATAGTTACGCTGCAAGCGTGAAGAAAGAGCGACTCTTCTCTCAGTCGAAAGAATCGCCGCAAGAAACAACTAGCTTTAATATTTAAGATCTTCGCAGCACCGTTCGCAAAGAGACCGAAAGTTGAAGGCGAACAATCCTCTTGGCCTAAGTATATTGAGATAGTGCACAATAAATATAGTAACGGGTTTCTTCTATAGTGTGCAGTGTCTGAACAGGCCTTAATCAGCATTCTTTTAGCTGAATTCTTTAGTTATCTTCCCCTGAATTGACTAGTGGTATGTGTTTGTAGCAGGCGTCTTCGAAGCCGGTACAGAGCATGAGGCTGACGACATTGAAGAGTAAAATCTCCTTGATGTCGACGATCGAGACGCGTCCATTTTGGCCATACAGCTACATCCTTTGGAAAGTAGTGTATAGGAATACCCTTTATATGTGTATTATTCTTGTAGCTAACATCATTTGGCGCTCCGGCCACGTAATACCCTCGCCTTTTCTTCTAAATTTCTCCTTTCTCCACCATAGTTACCGACGTGTCTTCATCACTGTTTTCTACGTCACCGCTATGTAACACATGATCGTTTTGACCGCGCGCTTTATGGGGACACTTATTGGCCGCCAAATCGTAGTTTCAATGCACAAAAGAATGGTCAAGGACAATTCGCTAGGGTCGATTACTTCTATTTTTGAATATGTAATTACATGGTCAATGCCATGTTCAACCTTCAGTCTATAAAAACAGTGAAGTGCTCTATTTATGGGAAAAGAACTTCGTCCGTACATAGAGGAATTGTTAGTCTCAATCATTCGTCACGCAGAGAGTAGTTAGCGAGAAATTTGGCTGTTTAGAATCTAATTACTTCAAAAAACAAAAACAAAAAAAAGAAAATTTTGTGTCTAGAAGTCGGGTAGAAGCATGAAAGTCATCTGACGTTTATGACGCGCACGTGAAGAAAAAGTAATCGAGGAACATTTCAATAAACACTTGGTATCAGCCCGAGTCGCGTCTACCACGTGCAGAATATGTGAAGCATGTGGGACAAAGAGAAAAACGTTGAGTTCTCATGAAGAATCGAACCTTAGACCTTCGGATTCCGCGTTCCCATGCTCTATCACTGAGCCACAGGGACCCTTCGGTGAGCGAGGTTAATTACGAAGTTCATGACACGCGTCCTACATACTGCTAGGAGATCATGTTTTTGTTCAAGATAGGCCGTCTTCCTGATGCTCTCAAAAGATTATTTTCGTTTTCGGGTAGCAATCATTAATATCGCTATTACCCCAGACAATGCAATTCCTTTTACATATCGCCTCGCAGAACAAATACGGAGCTCAGTTAGTGCCATCTCGTATTTCTCACCAACCTTTTTTTTCAAGACCTTAACATTCCGGTGTCCTTGCGGATTTGGACCCCCCTCCTCGGATTTGGACCCCCCAACAAAACCGAGATCATCCTAATCGTTCTAGTAGAAATATATAATACTTTGCGTTCCAGTGCGTACTAAAGTATGTTTCTATTTCAAAACATGCGTATCGCCAATGTATACGAGCTGGCAGCTGGAAATGACCTGTCAGATGTTTCTTTTGACCAAGGGAAAATGCGCAAGCATTTAGATTAATGTTTGGAGAAAGGTCGTTTTTGAACTTTTTCCACGATAGTCCAACACCACTAGATTCAATAAGAGACAAACTTGTGACACTTATTTATTTTGTTATTGTTCAATGCCCGAGTGTTGGAACGACATGTTACAGTATGAGTTGTGCGAGGAATGGTTGCACATGAGCTGCGAGGGATTTAAGACTGCCCCGGAGGGCGAGTGGCTCTGCATTGTCTGCAGACCGCCAGACTCTAGACGTCTTCGTAAAGGTGTTGCTTCGAGTCCCTCAACGGTTAATGATCGTTAAAATTAGAAAATAAGATTGAGTTCGATGTAATAGTCTCCACTTTTGTTAAGAAGTAGACATTAATGCTGATTTGGTATTGAAAATAAGCTGAGAGTAGGCTATCGTAGGCTTTACGAACGACTTGTAGCACGAGAAGTTACTTCGTTCTTGTTCAGAAACTGTTTAATGTTATTTCATTAGAAAATCAGACTGAGTTATTATTTTAGACTGAACGCAATAGTCTCCACTATTGTTATGACGTTTTGTTGATTCGCATCAGAAGAAGCAAAGATTTATTTTAACAAATTCAATAGTTCGAATGCAGTAGTTTGTTCGCATCTAATTATTGCGTATACCGTACGACTCGCTTTAATAAATGCGGCAGAATTGGAACGAAATAGCTGTTTTTCTTTACTTTTATTGAGGAATGTTGTGTTATGATTGAAAAGAACATCGATGAAAAGCTTGCAAATAGAATTAGTTGCCAAATATGACACAAACGATGCTTAGAAGGAAATTTTTGTAGGGGGTTCAAATCTGCGAAGGGGGGGTCCATATCCGCTGGCGGATTTGGACCGGCGGGGTCGAAATCCGCTGTGACACCGGTACGACTTCAACATTCCCGCATGACTTTAATTTTCTAAGACGACTTTCATTTTCCGGCACGACATTAATATTCCGGCACTACTTTTTCATGGCTAGACCTTTAACTTTTTCCACCGGAAGACTCAACACAAGAATTAAGGCGGCAGGTCACCGCCGGTCGATTGCAATGTAGTGATTGTAACACTGCTTGGTAAAAACTATGAATAAATTTTCAACTAGGCAAAGTTTAATTGTATAAGTTTACTCCATCAAATTATGCTTAGTGTGCTTGTTTTGCACTCAGTTGCTAGAAAATAGTTAGTTTTCAATTGATGATAAAATATTTGCGTTTACGTGGGTTAGACTGGTTCCCTGTATCGCCAATGTAATGAGAAGAAGTAAATTTAGACATCATGTGGCCAACTCGCTCGTCCACATCTACATGATTGGCTCATTTTCTTGTTTAAAACTATTCCTACTGACTAGAGTAACCGCTTTGGCTTCGCTTACTTTTTAACCGCCGCAAAACTGCTTCACTAATGGCCTTGTGTGTTAACACAAAAACAATTTGGCTGTTTACGTTCCACCAAAGCCTATTGCCCATAAAATTTGGACAAGATGACATTCAATCTTAAGGTAAACATTTGTAAGTACTTTTGAATAACAGACCAGAGAAAGTCTCGCTTATGGAGATCCTGATATTTATTTTTTATCCCATATATTTCTTTGTAATTGTTTCCCCGCCATGTTTAAAGGCCTAGAGAGGTGAAGTATGATCGATGTCTCGGATTTCTGGCTATGGAGACGCTACGGTGAGCGAGGTCCATTACGAAGTTCATATGACACATATACTGCTAGGATATAGACTCTACGGTGAGCGATTTCCATCACGAGGTTCATATGACATTCATACTGCTAGGATAGAGACACTACGGTGAGCGAGGTCCATTACGAATTTCATATGACATTCATACTGCTAGGATAGAGACTAAAGTGATCGAGGTCCATTATGAAGTTCATATGCCATACATACTGCTAGGCTAGAGACTCTACGGTGAGCGAGGTCCATTATGAAGTTCATATGACACGCGTGCTGCATACTGCTAGGATCAGCAATGTCGATAGCGTCCTGTTTAAAAAACAAAATGTCTTGTTATACCGCTAACCCCACTGACACAGCACCACAGTTTCTTTATAAATTTATCCCCTTCATTTAATGCCATGTTCTCCGAGTGAAAAAGTTAACAAATGCTACCGATGTTGTCGTCTTGCAAACCAAGACAGAAAAGGGAAAATCTTAACATTAAACTAGAGATTAACCAATGTACTATTGACTGAGTTAAAGAGTCTATGCTTTTAAGTGTTATTCTATACGAAAATTTGTTATGGAAACCGCACATTACTAATATCGCTTGGGAAAGTTTTAAAATCCACTGGTATAATCTATAAAGCTATGGGCCCAGTTGTTCAAAGGCCAGTTAGTGCTAGCCCAGGGTTAAATTTTAATGCAGGTTTATATATTTCTTTTTTCCAAAGCCTTTTAGAAAAAATTTCCCTATTTTTTTTTAGAACATCCAATGATCAAATTGCAAGCAAAAAGATTTGAACTGAATTTTCTTTAAAGCTTTCAGACCTTAAATCAAATTCCATGCTAACCCTGGGTTATCTTAACCCAGATTTGAACAACTCGGGCCATGTCTCTGCCTACCTACTTCAACTTTATGTACCCTGTACTATAGTCTTGTTTATCCCTACTTACTTTATTGCATTACGACATGGGGCTCCACTTATCCATCCACCTTGAAACGTATTGTCTTACTCCAGAAAAAGGTGATACGAATCATATCAAGAAGTATTCTTTAACGCTCATACTGAACCTATATTTAAGCAGTCGAAAATTCTCAATCTATACAGTATATATCGATTTAAAATAGGAAAGATCATGTTTTTTTTTCAAGACACGCCATCTTCCTAATGCTCTTAAAAGATTATTTTGTTTTCGAGTAGCAATCATTAATATTGCTATGACACCAGACAATGCAATTCCTTTTGCATATCCTAGCCGAATAAATATCAAACAGTTTGCGTTATGTTTCAAAGGACTTAAGTTTTCCATTTTTCTGAATATTAAAATATAAAATGTTGGCACACTTTCCCTGTTTAAGTCTTAATTGCAAACATAACTCCTAACTTGTCTCCCTTCTTATTCTTCTTCATTTGCTTATTTTCATTTTTTTAATTATTTTTTCTTACTTTTCTTACGCTACTTAAGTATATGTTTTTTCGAGTGCCTGCTATTGTTATTGTTGTTTTATTTTGTACCTTAATCACGCCATAAAACTGATACCTCGCTTTTGTAAAATATAAGGAGCCTGTAGCTCGCATAGGCCTCTTGGCTTCCCTACGGGTTTCCTTGTCTCATGCTAAATCTTCAGCTACATCATACTAACGTATATGTAATTCCTTTTTTAGCTCATTCATGCTGAAAGACTTAAACAGGATTTCGATATTCGGTTTACGTGCTCCGAACATCGAAATCCTGTTTAAGTCTTCAAACTTAGCTTGGATCTCTAGACTTTTGACAGTCGACCGACACTCATCTGAGACTTGGAAATCAATCCCGAATCACTTATTTGAAAAGTTTGGCGGTCTCAACTTTCTCCTTCATTGTAATTATGACAATAAGCTTTTAGCGAAATACAGCCTTCCACTTTTTTACAGGCAAATCTTGATGAACTTTCTTGAACTAAAGACCCTGTACAGACCCATCTACTTGTCAGACCTGCTTTTGTTTAACAACAAGGAAATTAAAATCGATGGCAATTCAATATTCTACTCAAATTGGTCAGAAAAGGCGGTCTTAACAATTCAGGATCTTCACGACTGCAATGGAAAGTTCTTATCATTTCATTCCAACAAAGATATAACATCAAATGTAATTTTTTAAATTATCTTCAAGTTCTTTCAGCGATACCAAAATATCTACTTGAGAGGGCGAGAACCGTATCTCCCATCGACATGCATAATTTCTCAGGTAGCACTTCCTACAAACTCTCTGACTCCATTGTCATAGATTTAACGAAAATGAATTGCAAAGATTACTACTTGCTGTACGTTAATGTGACCAAAATCGAACCCACCGGTCTAAAGAAATGGCAAAAAGATCTTAACCTGAAAAATTTTTTATTGGAACCTTGCCTTCACTTAGATAAGCAAAACATGCAAAGAAAATAAACTTTAACTACAAATTACTCCATAGAATAATAGTCACCAGGAAAGAGTTATATGCCTATGCAATTGAAACAGACGGTAAATGTCTTTATTGTAATGAATCCGACTACATTCTACATTCCTTTGTTGAATGTGAAGAGGCTAAGTCCTTCTTTGATAAAGTTATTCAGTTCCTGGTTTAACAAAACAAACAATTCGAAATATTTACCAACAGTGGCCGAGAAACTTTTTGGAATGTTGCATAATGGAAATGACAAATAACTATCTAAATTCAACTGTTGCTTACTCTTCGCCAAATACATCTTATATTGTCAAAAACTAAGTTCAAAAAAGTGTGACTTTCATGAATTTAATACGAAATTACTACTTAAACTTCGCGTTGAAAATTTACTATAATTTGTACAGTATTACTGGTGAATGCTTCTCTAGCCTTAAACCAATAGTGTAAATAGCACCAATTAAATAGTGTGAACAGAGTAAATAATATTCTATAACAATGTTTCATAAGTAATGTGACCAATCAATCTTTTGTTCTAGTAAGGAATTAAGTTAAGTAATTGTAAGTACAAGAAAACAAATTTATTTTATTTTTATATTTATTTTTATTTTTTTTGCGTATGTGTATCAAGCAAATACCATGTAAGTAATGTAAATTTTCCCATTGGTAGTGTAAATGTAAGTGACCATTCCTTTTGTAAATAGTGTATCTTAAGTGCGTTTCTATTTGTAGTATTTTTTGTGAGTAGTATCATTTGTAACTGATGTGTGTAGAATAAAGTTCATTAACCCTTTAACTCCCAAATCAAATTTTTAATTCTCCTTACTGTCAACCATACAATTCTTATAATATTAGTTCAGAGAATTTAGTATTGGATCAACTTATTATCCCCAAATTGATATTTTTCTTTATTCTCATCACTTATCTGGTTGATATTGTATTGATATTGTGAGGAGAAATTCTGTCTTGGTCACTCATGGGAGGGTTAATAATAATAATAATAAAAAAGATAAATCCAATGTATGAACTTTGTTTAATATCTATCAGTGCGGGTTTATTCTAGGGACAAATATAATACACCATATGATTACAGTTTAATAGGGCATCTGTTTCATTTTAATAAATATTGCCCCCTACCATCAATGACCCAATATTGCTTTTGCAACTTAACTTTGTTTAATATCTATCAGTGCGGGTTTATTCTAGGGAAAAATATAATACACCATATGATTACAGTTTAATAAGGCATCTGTTTCATTTTGATAAATATTGCCCCCTACCATCAATGACCCAATATTGCTTTTGCATTTCTGCCTTTAGGTGACTCTGCCAATTTTACAGAATTTTCCAACAAATAAAAAGATTATGCACTTCTAATTGGCTGAAAATAAGTGCATTCTCATGTAACACAAGTGCAAAGTTGTAACACAAGTGCAAAATTTCTTCTGTCTTGACTTTCAGTGATACTTTTTTCATGTACATTATTAACAAGTAATAACATGATTTCTTTTGCAATTTGGTGTAATATGCATTGGTAAATTTTTCAAAATTACAAATTGCATTTGCCATATGGGCTTGTGCAATTTTGTTGTCCTTGGAAAATTTACTTGTGCCTATGTTAATACCAAATTGTACTCAAAATAATGTTATTACCTATACTAAGTTTTATGATCATCCCAAATCAGTTAGTCAGCTTAACCAACAAAAACATTTGTATCTACCAACCTAATTTGAATCAATCACATAATTGTTTCTTTTGGCAAATGTTTTGGCCAAAGATGTGTTTGTGGCAAATATAAAAATAGAATCACAATGGCATCTGTCACCATGCTTTCTATCAGCATGAAGGATGGAGCAGATGGTACTTGTAACCTTAGTAGGCCATTAAACATTATGGTAAAATCACTTTCAGTATCATGAATTTGCAAATTCAAAAGATGTATCAGAATGAAAGTTTATCTGTCATGTCAAACATGTCTACAATTCAACAGCTTTTTCTCTTTTAGTAATTTGTTTCTTTGTTTGTTTCACATATACATACAATGTCCAACGTACACTGAATTATGACAAAAATGGATATTATACATATATAACAGTATAAAAAACAAAACACATCACACCATGAAATTTAATTGTACAAAACATAGGATATGTACAAGTGGAGTTATAGTGAAGACCAGGTGCCTTTGCTCAAACTGTTAACAGAGTTACACTATGATCACCTGACTGTACTTCAATGTATCCCACCCCTTAGGAATGTTATGCAGAACTGAAACTTGAAATTTTTCATTTAATCCAACAAAATATGACACCATTGTTCTGAGAACAACCTACAATCGCAGCAACATGATTTACATGTCAGACAAATCAATCTTTCAGGGTTTCTGACAACAAAAAATAAGCTCTCAGTAAATAATGCAGTGTTCCACATTTTTTCCCTAACTGAGAAAAACAGCTCCAATCAATAATTTATTTATTGTTCCTAGGAGGTACCACTGATATGTGCATTAAAGTAGAAGGAAGCTACGAACAGCAAAAGCAACATGGTAACCCTTCATGGGAGGTGTCATTTATGCCACAGATCAAACAAAGTTAACCCTTAAACCCTTGGAGGGGACCAATAAAGACCAGCTTTCTCCAAACAGTATCACCCCTGATTCAAATATTAAGCTCATGAGAATGGAGGAAATGAGCACCAATGGGCCATTTTACAGTTGTGTACTTAGTTGCCAGGGCTTTGATATGGAATGAGGCTCTTGATTGATACAATAATTCTCCTTGTCTTCAACTTAGGAAATGAATACAGATCAGTATGGAGAATAAGCATACTGATATTGGGGTCTAGAGGATTCAGTCACTTACCACTATTAACTGAGCTGGTATAGGAAATTTCATTTCGTGCTTCAGCTTCTCGCTGATATATTTCAGTGCTATGAGGACAAGGATACAGACAACCCCAGCGATGACTGATCCCAGTACAGAACAAGTAATATTCTTGAACTTGATTATGTAGGTCTAAAACAAAGAAAATAAAATTTCACAAAAACAAGAAAACAAAAATTAAGAAATATCAAGTTAATCCTACCTGTGCAACAATCAAAGATCTTGTTTCAAATTGCCTTCCAGAGAATATTTCCCCAAACAAAAGAGTAACGAGGGTTATTAAAGACTAATTTTTGTCAAGTAATTAGGTGATAGGAAAAGTAAAATAAACCTAACATTTCCGCATTTATTGAACCTTTAACTCCTAAGATCTAATTGTCATTTCTCCTTTAAGCCGCTGCACCTTCCTTGTGAGTTAGTGACAAGAATTTGGTGTAGATCAAGTTAACAACTTCTACCTGATAACTTTGAGTATTCTCATCACCTTCATGCTAAATCATATATGGATATCATTGGGAGAAGTTACATGTTAATCACTTGCAGTCATTTAAGAAAGCACATACAAATTTATACAAACAAAACCGTTCACAGGATTAGTATTACAAGAGTCTTCTTTTGAGCACTTTTCCACTTATAATTCTCCATCTACGCCCCCTGACATAAATAACACACAATTCGCTTTTGGGCACAGAGAGAAGTTTATTAAGAATACGAATCAACAGTAAACAAAAGCCAATGATATGCCTAATAAACCTCTCTGCCGCCCTATAACATCACACAAAATCACCCAGGATGGGAGAGAGGGTGGGGAGAAAAACGAAACAGTACAAAATCTCTGGTGCACGCTCCACGTGAAAATCGATGCGAAATGAAACGCGAAACTCCTATTGCCTGATACTAGACGGTGTGTGTTGCACAATTAATCCCTTTAAACACGTGCTTGTCCAAAGGGGG